TTTTTATGAGCCAGACTGCCTATATATATATATATATATATATATATATATATATATATACGTACATTATATGCACAAAACTCATCAAAAACTTTTATGATTGATGTTGTTCAGTGGCGTAATGCTTCAGTCAAGAACCTATTAAACATGTTCGTCACTGTCCTCCACACTACTTGACAATAATTTCCACAGATTTTTCCTACAGTTTTATTATTAGACGCTTAATATTACCTCCACTTGTGTATACAGGGTGTTTCACATTCGTGGTCCATTAAAAGTTTCTGGGGAACGGAAAAAGATATGATTTGAAATTATAAAAGCGTTTATAGTACATTTCAGTCTATATTTATAAAATATTTTGAACAAAATGACACATCAACTTTATTATTTCAAATGCATTTTTACATTTTTATATTCTACATCTAATTCTGAGCAAAATGAGCAAACCTATACCTAAAGTGAATAGTTATCGAGTTATTAATTTTTTTCCTTAAAATTTGGCAAATGCGCGTCAATCAAAAATAGCCTATAACTTTTTTCTTATTGGGTTTGCGGATATAGCGGTGGAATTTTTGGAATCTTAAAACATCGTTTAATAAATTCCATGCCAGTTCTTAAACATTTTTTAACAAATTACCTGAGAAAACCCAGGGCAAATTAGGCTAACTTGAAACGTTAATAACTAACTAAATTTTAGGACTAAATAGTGCTATTATTAAACTTGTCATTTTCTCTTTAAATCAGTTCAAACAATTTTTAACGACGGTTTTTGTTTTGTGTTGTCATAAACATTAACACGTCAAGTCGCTGGGAAATAAAGTATACACAGAAAGCTATAAATACATTTTCGTAGCCCATAAAGATGTTGGGACTCTATTGTTCGAGCATAAACCGTGTTTTAAGCGTTACAACACATTACACCTGAAATTACTTTTTGATTTACTTATTTTGAACTGGGAATGGTGGTCAAGTTTTTTGCAATTCTGATATGATAGTTTTTTTATGTTTCCATTCAGTTCAAGCAAGCCACGAGGGCATATTATAGTTCTTAAGAATTTTCAATGGCGATCACAACTATATATTGCATATACTTACCACACTGTGGTAAGTATATGATTTATTGTTGGCACATTTTTATACGAAATTTTATTTAAAATTACAAGGCCTAAAATAAAAATATGAGAAGACTCTCAAATCATGTGGTCGAAACACAAATATTTACAAATTTCTCGAAACATAAATTATTTATCTGGCACGTAAAATACTTCCAAATATCAACATTTTTATGTTAATGAACACATGATTTAGATTTACTAGAAAACTGGAAAGTTTGTTAATAATATAATTTCACCTTGATTATGAAATATCACGTCTAAAATATATATACAGGAAAACGCAAAAGAAATTAAACTTGTGCTTCCTCTGCATCAAAATTAACATTGAAATTTCCACTTAAATAATAAGCATTTAAAAAACTCTATAGAAATTTTTTGTAAAGATATTTTACAGACACTTTTTATGTTCCTCAAAATATAATTTGGTGTTACAGCCAATGACATGTTTGGTTACACGAAATGACATGTAATTTGGCCATGTTAAACACGATTTGATATGTTTATGACATCCATCAATGGCTCATATATCTACATCTAAAACAGTAAATTATTTCATACCGTTTAAAATTCAGTTTATTTATTTAATATAAATTAAGCTAAGGAACCTTACTGAAAAATATGACGACGTGTTAAACTTTAAGCAGGTAGTTTATTTATTAGTTCTGTAACTGTGATTAATATCTGGCCATTTAAAATTCTTGGCAATTGGCCAAACTAATTCGTCATGTAAATTAAATTAGGCATTTCATTATAATTTATTAATACATATCGTTCCGAACGATTTCAATTAAATTTTTTGTATACAGTATACAGGAAAGTCTAATTAAAGATGGTCGAAGTCAACACTTTATCCGAGGTGCTGACTTTAAAGCAGTGCATCTTTGTTATTAACATAGATAATACCGTAAATAAAAAAAAAACAATACGTTCAGAAAAAATGGGACTACAGTATGTAGTCCTACTTTTGCACCCTGTATATGCTAAAATAAAAATCAAAATGTCTACCATAGCATCAAGAGAGTCAACAAGAGTTTACAATGTATAAATGTTGCCAATTTTTTACATTTACAAAACTCGTTATGTTGAAATGAATTCATATTTTTATTTAAAAAACGAATTTAAAGAACATAAAAATCCTATTTATGGAGTTTGCCTGAAGGTAGCCTGCAAAAAGATTAATTAAAAGCCTTTTGTCTTCCTAAAAGAAATTAAAATACAAATTTCAACGGATACCATCTGTCTCAAGCCGACTAAAGGAAAAACATAAAAATAAAATAAAATTGATCTCAGACGTCCCAATTTTATGGTTTTGATCGCAATTAAAAAATTTCTCGGATTTTGTTTATTTTCATTAAAAACATTTCTAAATGCGTTTGAAAACAGTAAACAAGCTTTATTTATTTCAAATATTTAAAAAAAAAAAAAATTAAAGTAAAAAATATAAAGTTGGTATTGTAGGAATATGAACACTCACCTTTTGCAGTATTCTTCACCCCACTTCAGCCTATTCTGAATAATTAACCCAACGTTGAGTGTAGATGCTTGTTTTATTTGTAATTGCAAAGTATACCTATGTATACTCGTTTTGTGCACGTATAGAGTTCAGAATAATAGAGAAAACATTTATATTATATACATGTAAAATCTATCCATGGACACAAAACTTTGTTAGGAACTCATCAAATGCATGTGGTTTACGTGGTACTAGTTTAACTAACTTTTGTAAGTTGGGTAATTAGAAAAATACTATAAAAAGGATATGGGCTAGCGATTAGAGCCAAACACCAGCTTCGGGGTCTAGTGGTTTGGGCCAAGTATCGCAGGACCACTGGCGCCATTCCTGGGTAGGGCAAGTTGGGGTCGATTTCCACGCCGCTGCCTGAGCCAGTTTCCGATTCTGAAAAATGGAATAATAAATTATTTTAATTTGTAAGAAAACAAAATTAAGTTCAACAATAAATTTAAGTTATGTATATTTAAAGTTGGGGTGTCAATCCCGAGCCCATTTTCCAATCCCGGGCCTTTCGGGACCAAAGGTAACTAATCCCGGGATCCCGGGATCAGTCCAGAAAAAATATATATCATTAATTTTAAAATTAATTTAAAATAAAACAACAAACAAACTAACGAACGATATCTTTCGGACTTCACACTAGTCGGAAGAAGGTTTTCAAGAATTCGTAGGGACATTGTACCCACGTTTACCCCCATTAACAAATAATTCCATTTCTTTTATCAATCGTGCTGGGGGCTGTACCTTACATTGAAATTATCAAGTTTGTGACATTTTTTTCAGGTTTGACGTTTGAAATATGTTATATTATAGGTTATGTACATAAATTTATTCTACAGTGACCTGTAATTTTACATTTTCTTTGCTAATTTTATGCTATAGATGGAACCACTCTTGCTATGTAATTTCAATGTATTTTCATTATTGTACGGCGGTGTATAATAATTTGACTTGAACTGAGTAAAAAAATGAAGTGTTTATATATGAGTATTATAATGAGTATTATGATATGAAAAATGTCATACGCTTAAAAAAAAGTCTATTTTATTCTTTGTAACTTATTACTAAGATCCCGGGATTGGGACTTTAATCCCGGGTTTTTCGGGATCGGATTTTTTACGGAATCCCGGGACCCCGGGATTTCGGGATCCCGGGATTGACACCCCTAATTTAAAGTAATGGATAAATTAGAACAATTTTTTTTTAATATTAATAATTATAATAATTAAACTCAGAATGTTCCACTTTTATTTTGTACCTTTTTTAGTTACTTGCTCTAGTTCTTTGGTTTCTTTGGTATTCGTTTTTAGTGCTTTTGGTGCGTTTCTTTGTTTTTTTTGGTTTCTTTACTTTCTTTAGTGATTCTTTGGTATTTTTAGTAGGTATTTCTTTTGGCGTTATTTTATTATTTTTAGTTTTTGTAGTGTTTTTGGGTTTATTAGTGTCCCTGTTGTTTTTTGGTGTTTCTTTGGTGTTTATTTATTGATTCTTTAATTTTTTTATTGTTTCTTTGGTGTTTTAAGTATTTCTTTTAGTGTTTGTTTTTAGTATTTTTGTATCATTTTTTATGTTTTTAGTGTTTATTTTAGTCTTCCTTTATTTTTATTTTTTTGTTTTAGTGTTTTATTAATTTTTTAGTGTTTTTTTGTCTCTTTAGTGGTTCTTTAGTATTTTTAGGTTCCTTTAGTGTTTCTCTGGTGTTTTGTAGTATAATTTTTTAATATTTTAAAAGGTTTTTTAGTTTTCTGTGCTTTTTAAAGTTTTTTTAGTATTTCTTTAGTTATTTTGGTGTTTGTAGTGTGTGTTTAGTATTTCTTTTTGTTTTTAGTATTTTATTTATTTTTTTTTTGTCTTTTTACTGTTTCTTTATTGTTTTTAGTGTTTTTTTCTGTGTTTTTTGTCTCTTCAGTGCTTCTTTAATATTTTTATGTTTCTTTAGTGTTTTGGTGTTTTGTAGTGTTTTTTTAAATATTTTAAAAATAATTTTTAGTTATTTGTGATTTTTGTAGTTTTTTATTGTTTCTTTAGTTACTTTGGTGTTGGTAGTGTTTTTTGTTTTTCTTTGGTCTTCCTTTAGTGTTTTAAGTATTTTTTTAGTGTTTTTTAATATTTCTTTGGTACTTTTTATTTGTCTTTAGTGTGTTTTAAAGGTGTTTTTAGTTTGTTTCCTTGGTCTTTCTTTGGTGTTTTTAGTGTGTTTAGTGTTTTCTTTGTTTTTTTTAGTTTTTAGTATTTTTTAGTGTTTCTTTGAATTTCTTTGTGTTTTTAGTGTTTTTTTATGACTTTTGGGTTTCTTTAGTGTTTTTATATGTTTTTAGCCTTTTTTCAAGTGTTTATTTCAATAATGTTTCTTTTATGTATCTTCAATGTTTTCAGTGTTTTTTAGTGTTTTTAAGTGTTTCTTCAGTTTCTTTAGTTTCTTTAGTTTCTTTAGTTTCTTTAGTTTCTTTAGTTTCTTTAGTTTCTTTAGTTTCTTTAGTTTCTTTAGTTTCTTTAGTTTCTTTAGTTTCTTTATTTTCTTTAGTTTCTTTAGTTTCTTTAGTTTCTTTAGTTTCTTTAGTTTCTTTAGTTTCTTTAGTTTCTTTAGTTTCTTTAGTTTCTTTAGTTTCTTTAGTTTCTTTAGTTTCTTTAGTTTCTTTAGTTTCTTTAGTTTCTTTAGTTTCTTTAGTTTCTTTAGTTTCTTTAGTTTCTTTAGTTTCTTTAGTTTCTTTAGTTTCTTTAGTTTCTTTAGTTTCTTTAGTTTCTTTATTTTCTTTAGTTTCTTTAGTTTCTTTAGTTTCTTTAGTTTCTTTAGTTTCTTTAGTTTCTTTAGTTTCTTTAGTTTCTTTAGTTTCTTTATTTTCTTTAGTTTCTTTAGTTTCTTTAGTTTCTTTAGTTTCTTTAGTTTCTTTAGTTTCTTTAGTTTCTTTAGTTTCTTTAGTTTCTTTAGTTTCTTTAGTTTCTTTAGTTTCTTTAGTTTCTTTAGTTTCTTTAGTTTCTTTAGTTTCTTTAGTTTCTTTAGTTTCTTTAGTTTCTTTAGTTTCTCTAGTTTCTTTAGTTTCTCTAGTTTCTTTATTTTCTTTAGTTTCTTTAGTTTCTTTAGTTTCTTTAGTTTCTTTAGTTTCTTTAGTTTCTTTAGTTTCTTTAGTTTCTTTAGTTTCTTTAGTTTCTTTAGTTTCTTTGGTTTCTTTAGTTTCTTTAGTTTCTTTAGTTTCTTTAGTTTCTTTAGTTTCTTTAGTTTCTTTAGTTTCTTTAGTTTCTTTAGTTTCTTTAGTTTCTTTAGTTTCTTTAGTTTCTTTAGTTTCTTTAGTTTCTTTAGTTTCTTTAGTTTCTTTAGTTTCTTTAGTTTCTTTAGTTTCTTTAGTTTCTTTAGTTTCTTTAGTTTCTTTAGTTTCTTTAGTTTCTTTAGTTTCTTTAGTTTCTTTAGTTTCTTTAGTTTCTTTAGTTTCTTTAGTTTCTTTAGTTTCTTTAGTTTCTTTAGTTTCTTTAGTTTCTTTAGTTTCTTTAGTTTCTTTAGTTTCTTTAGTTTCTTTAGTTTCTTTAGTTTCTTTAGTTTCTTTAGTTTCTTTAGTTTCTTTAGTTTCTTTAGTTTCTTTAGTTTCTTTAGTTTCTTTAGTTTCTTTAGTTTCTTTAGTTTCTTTAGTTTCTTTAGTTTCTTTAGTTTCTTTAGTTTCTTTAGTTTCTTTAGTTTCTTTAGTTTCTTTAGTTTCTTTAGTTTCAATCAAAACGTTGGTCTTTGAAACACAAAAACATCATTGTGTCAATTAATACCTTTACAAAGATTTCATATAAATTTGGTGTTTTTTTAATTAAACAACTAAAGTTCTTTTTGGAACCCCTTTATGTTGATTTTCCAGGATTTTGATGTTATTTAAATTGAAGAGAAGGTTTCTGTGTACCAAGTCAACATGAAAACCTGATTAAAAGAGCTGCAGGCGATTCACTAAGCTGGCGGCAGCATGCAGGATGACAACAATGGAAAATTTCCATTGGAAATAGCAATTGTAGTGGAAGTGAAACAGCTGTGCATTGCAAATCCAACTAATAACTGTGTAATACTTCCGAATTTCGAAATTAACATTTTCCAGATATTCTATGCGCGTATATAACACATTAATTATGGCAGAGTCAGCGGCTCTTATTAATACCCTGTCATCCCCGTCCCGCTTAAGCACTCTCCACCAAATAATTCCACGAATTAAATTTTATTGCGTGGAAACCGAAAAACATCCGACAGACTCTATCCATGTGGATGAATTTCAAATGAAATTTAAAACGAGATATTAAGTAACCAGTTTACAAAATTACCTGACTTGACTCATAATATTATGAAAGCTTCAATACATTTTGATGCTTGATAGATTTTTTTAGTTTAATGTCGATATGCTTAACATTGTATACAAATCGTGTATACATTTTATTAAAATATTAAGTGTGTCTAATTTTCAAAGATCGATAAAAAACAGATTTGCAATAGACAGCGTTTCCATCGGGAGAAAATGTTAAAGAGAAGAAGAGGGGGAGAATGAGGGAGAGGAAACACAAATGATTTATTATATAAAGAATGGGGGGAACCACTCACAATAAACAACAGTCGTTTTGTTATTTCGAATTGACTGTTTATTATGGATATTATTTCTTATTCTTTCTGATGGTGGATAAAGAATACTAATAACGACGAACACGAACGTTACTGTTAAGAGTTTTTTTATCATGTATCATGTATTTGCTACTTGCTAATCAGAGAATGATATCATTTTCTATAAAAATAAACCAAGTTACACATGTGACTCTTTACCTAAATATGATATCAAAGCTTTATTAGACACATCAAAACCTACTTTTAAAACCATAACGCCTATTACACTTGTAAGTTGCTTTATTATGGGATGCCAATTATACCCTTATAAAACTATTTTTATTTAAGAGACCCTTAGGCCTTTTTACCTTTATAGCGGTATATGGATTTTAAGCGTTCTTATAAAGTATGTTTTATGGAAGCAGTTAAACCCAAATTTCTGGAGGAAACTGTCCTAACACTATTTGCTTGGGCTGTAAGTACTTTTTACAGCTAATAGTTTAATCTGCTTTATTATACTCCTGTGTGCTAGCTTCTCAAGAGCAGTTTGTCTCGATGGCAATACATTAAAAGGCATTTTAGATTTAAAAGTGGGTTAAAGTGAAAACGTCCCTCATAAAACCACTTTGTATCCAAAAACTGCATATTGGTTTTATGACATACTTTTAATAAAATAAATAGGTTTTATTAATTTCTCATGCAGGAGATACTGCTCTTAAAGTCCTATGACCACAGTTTTTCCATCATCAATATTGAGTACCTACTTAAGAATGCTTTGCTAAAATAATTTAAAAAAATAGCTCATCTTAATTAAAGTATATTATACAGGGTGACAACTTTAAAACGAACAGCACTTAGTATTTTTTTATTTCACCATTTTTGAACTCCTTATACAATTCTAAATAAGTTACTTTTTTTTGTCAAAATTGAAGTGGTTATAACCTCACAAATGTATGGAATGTATTTAGTCTATAAATTAAAATAATGCTAGTTTTAATGGGGTTCCGCCGTAAAAGTGATAATAAAGATAATATAATAACTTTATTAATTGTTCAAAATGGTTTCCCTTGTTTTGTAAGCACAAGTACAGCCGATATTCAAACTGTTCGCGGACGTTCCAAAGTGTCTCTGGTAAAATAGCCCTACATTCTTGCACAATCCTTTGTTGGAGTTGTACAATTGAGTCCGGTTGGGTTTTGAATACAATGGATTTCAAATGACCCCATAGAAAGAAATCGAGCGGTGTCAGATCTGGTGACCTAGGTGGCCATTCAATGGGTCCATTGCTCCGGATAATGATTATCCAACCACTCTCTTACTGGACGTACATAATGAGGAGGTGCTCCATCCTGCTTAAAGTGTAGCGAATGTTCATCAAAAACAAGATTTCCATCGACGTGTCTTTGATTTTTCACCTCATGAATTATAGGAGGCTAAATTTTTCTGTCTAACATTTCCGCATACATTTCACCATTTAAATTTCTATCTATGAACAAAGGACCAATGATAGTATCGCCTAATATGCCCGCCCAAACATTTAATTTTTGAGGATATTATGTATTCCCCTCTCTAATAATGTAAGGATTGAAGTCGCTCCAATAAGGCAGTTTTGTTTGTTCACCTTGCCATTTAAGTAGAAGGTGCACTCATCACTGAAGCAGATATTTTTTTATAAACTGGGGCTAAGCAATAATCCTATTAGTCATAATTTTGCAAAACTCAATACGTCTGTCCGGGTCATCATCCCCTAAATCTTAAGTATTTTGTAGCCTGTATGGGTAAAATTTGTGGACTGATTCACGCGAGAGTCCAGTTTGTTCTGCAGCTTGACGAAGCGACATAGTGGGAGCCATATCAATTTGGTCAAGAACTTCAATCTGAGCGATCTCATTGACCAATTTTGGCTAATTCCTCTTCTTATTGCAAACATATCCAGTTTCTTCAAATTTAGCTACTAAATCTCAGATGTACTTGTGTCTAACATTTCTTTCTTGCGAAGCAACGGTTTTCCGCTCCATAAATAAAAATCATTTCAACGCGTTCTGCAATAGTGAAAACCATTTTAAGAAAAGGATACAAAAACACCCAACCACTATAGCTTATTTTTACTAATCGATTCGGCAAATCAAATTAATAAATTTACACCGGACGTACGAAAATACGAACTGCACTTATCACTTCTAAATTATATCAGATGTAACAAAATAAAAAGAATTACATGAGGATTTCAAAAATGGCGAAATAAATAGGGGTTGCTATTAAAAATTTAAGGGGTTGGTGCTCTGGACGTCATGGGGTTAAATGTAATACAACAAATACCTCAACACTTGTACCCCTTGATATGTAAATTGACATGTTTCGCCAAATTTTTATAGTGTCATCAGTTAAAGATATATTGCTGTTTGTTTTAAAATTGCCACCCTGTGTATTATATGGATGTTCTTTTTAAATCATTTAAGCAAATCATTTTTAACAACAAAATTAGTTCTTACAAAGGTATTTTATCTAAATCTGATTTAAATGCCCTTTTCAGTATTTCATCGACTTTCATAAAAAAGTGGTGGAGCCATTAAAATATCACCCCAGGATGAAGAAAGATTGCTTTTAAATATTATTATAAACCTCATACAAATATATTTAATTTAAAGTTGTAGTTCGGTCTTTATAAAATATTAAAGTCTACTCGAAAGATAATATTATTCTAAACCAAAGCAATATTGTAAATACCTACTACGCCAAATATGTTTACGAGATTTAGATCAAATTATTCAGTTAATAAACTAAATTTTACTTATCTTCTGAATAATTTTCCAAATACTATAGATTTTTAACAAACCACCATAACAATTTAGAGAACTCTCTATTAAAAAAGTTAAAATCAAATTAAAATCAATTTTAATAGATAAATGTTATTAATAGGGATGGGATTTTAGTTATTTTACCTTTTTTCAACCGATGTAACTATTTGAAAACCAATAATGCCAAAATGTGTTTTAAAAGATTTTCTTTTATATGAACCTAACTTGTTTTCACCTTTTTTACATTTTTTGGAGGTTTTTGCTTGAAACTTACCTTTTTTATACTTTTGTTACCTATTTTTTAACTTGTTTTCACCTTTTTTACCTTTTTTGGAGGTTTTTGCTTTAAACTACCTTTTTATACTTTTGTTACATATTTTTTAATTTGTCAGTTTATTTTCATATATTTGTTACCTATTTTTACGTATTTTTACTTATTTTATTTTTTTTGTTTTTTTTTTAAATTTGCGCCAATATTTTATCCAGGGCGTGAAACTCAACGGTATAGAATTTTTTCTTATGGTTACAGACTGTAACAGTAACTTTCTCTACAGTTACCTTCTTTGTAGTGACTCACTACTAGTGAGCTTATGTTCTTTCATAGAACTTCTGTGTAGTGAGTGTCACTCAGTAAAACACAGTTTATTGCATAGAAATAGTTTATTGTGGGTATGTTCTGTGTTTGGGTATGCGGCTAAACAAAATTATAAACGAAACTTAAACTTTTTTTTAATGTTTTTTTTTTACCCAAAATGCTGTTTTTTTAACCTAAAATGCTTTTTTTTAGTACCTTTTTAGTTACCTATTTTTCCTAAATATCCCATCCCTACTAATTATATCTAAATCTGATTTAAATGCCCTTTTCAGTATTTCATCGACCATTAAAATATCACCCCAGGATGAAGAAAGATTGCTTTTAAATATTATTATAAACCTCATACAAATATATTTAATTTAAAGTTGTACTTCGGTCTTTATAAAATATTAAAGTCTACTCGAAAGATAATATTATTCTAAACCAAAGCAATATTGTAAATACTACGTCAAATATGTTTACGAGATTTAGATCAAATTATTCAGTTAATAAACTAAATTTTAATTATCTTCAGAATAATGTTCCAAATACTATAGTTTATAGTTATAGTTATAGTTAAGGTTTTTAACAAACCACCATAACAATAGAGAACTCTATTAAAAAAGTTAAAATCAAATTAAAATCAATTTTAATAGATAAATGTTATTACTCAATGTAGGAATATTTTAATGATGATCTTCATCAATATTTTTTGTATCATTACCTATTACTGGTTATTACTGGTTACATGCTATCAAGCTTTATCAACCTAAACAGCTTTAAGATGTAATTTTAAAAGAGGCCCTATCGGTGCTATTACAGCTATAATAAAACCTAATGTGTTACTTGGGAGATTATCTCTTACCATCCAAATCTGACAGAGTGCTGTCTCCTGAATCGAATAGGTCGTCTCTCCGGTTCGAGTTCCTCCGGTGCAGCCCGGAATCGGATCTGCAGTGGCTGTAACCGCCGGAATTGGTGGTGTAATAATGCATGGCGGAGCGCAGGCCGGCCACGCTAACAAAAAAAATATCACCACTTTAACGCCATTGTCGTTCGCGCGCTTTATTAGCTGACACTACTTGATGCTGGTTCGGTCAGGGAACGTTTGTCGCGTGGTAAGAAGACGCACTCTACCGGTAAAGTCATCAAAACCAAGCACTGAAAAAAACAAATGAGAGTAATACATGACAGCCATAATTATTAGGTAATGCTTACCTTATTAAATCATTAACAGCTCTTGTGCTGAAACCCGTCCGTTCGTTATTTGTTCGTATTTTTAACGCACTTTAAAAAAAAATTAACAATAATCACCGATTTGACTTAGCTTGCTATAATATATACGTTATGACTAAATAGACTGTATTTACAGAAATTACCCTGATTCAGTATTAATTTTTAGATTCGATTTTCGAAGTTTTTGGCACTACGTAGTTGGAAAACTCCAAACTATATCTGAAACGATAAAAAAAATATATTACAAAAATCGCCATTTCAATAACAAGTGTAAAATAAATGTGCTGTTGTAACCTTTTAAAATATCAAAGGTGTCCCCAATTTACTGTATTTTTTGGTAACCTATTATTTGAAAATTTGTAACGATCAAGTAAAATAAATAAATAAACAAACCACGTTTAAACATAAACAAGAATCTATGTATATCCGAACTTGTTTACTAGCGTGTTAATCAATCGCGAGTACTTTTATTTCTCTTTTTACAAATTCACGAAGCCATTTTCGAGAAAAAAGCTATTTAAAATGTATCGCCACAAAAAAAAGCGTTTGAAAAATTAAATAAATACTGAGATTGACAGGTATAGAAATATTGGGTCAATTTGTAATTGGTAATTACAGATACAAATATAAAAAATATGTAGGTGTAGTAGACTAACGTAAATTTACATCATTTGAAATTATTTTATTTGTTTTAATGCGGTTTTTAATCGCAAAACCCGACCTTTTCCCCCTCAATTATTTATATGGAAAACTTTAGCAAGTTGGTAAATCATTAATTATAATTATTAATATGTTCTTGATCATAATTTGTTTTAACATGGTTAACAGGTTAATTATATTTTTTTCTTTATTACTTAATATTGTAGATAAGGCATTTTTGCTTCAATTTCTCTTTTTTTATTCAACTTATGTAAAATAGCGTACTTGGTTCATTGTTTTCAACCGCATAATTTCCTAATTTCACGTGTGTGAGGAGATAATAAACTAAAGAATCTAAAGAAAATAAAGAAACTTACCAAAACTGGCATAAACCAGTGGAAACTAGCATAAAATGGAAGAAACTAGCAAAAAATATTAGTAACTAGCAAAAACTATCAAAAAACTAAAAAAAAAATAAACCAAAGTAACTAAAGTAACTATAAAGCAACTAAAAGAAACCAGCAAAAACTAGAAAAAACTAGCATAAAATGGCAGAAACTAGCAAAAACTGGCAAGAGCTAGCAGAAATTAGCCAAAACTAGCAGAAACTTTAATAAACTTTATTTACGACACAAGGCCTAAAATGTATATAAAATATATAAATTAAAAAAATAATGCATAAGAGTCATTCCAAATAAATTTATCGGTAGTTTTACTCACAATTTTTGATTGTAACGGACGCTACAAACATTCCCGAGTAGCGTGGAATGGTTGAACTAACAAAAATATTTCATAATTATTATTTGTGGTATTCCTTTGGTGACTTTAAAAAGTTTTGTATATAACATAATATGACATATTATGTTATATACAAAATTTACCAAAGAAATACGCACAAATAATATTTATAAAATATTTTTCGCATTCTGACATTTCTCCATCAAACATCAATTGACAAAGTCAAAGCTATCTAAATTTTAAATTATAAATAAAACTAACAATATCGCTTCTTAACTGGCATTAAAAAAATTATTATATCTTTTACATGGATAAAAATAACAAAACAAGACTAACTGGACTGAAAAGATGAAGGTGGGGACTACATTTCCTGAAAGTTTCAGATTTTTATTTTTTCCTCAACATAATGATTTCTGAGGGCAAAATTGGCTAATTTTGAGAATTATCAATTTTCAATAATTTTTTTAATAAAGAAATTGATAGTCTAGAAACTTAAAATAATAGTTACGTTTTCTATTGTATAAGTACTTTATACCTGAAAAAAATGAACCTTCTAAATTCAGTAGAATAGGCACAGGAGCCAGACAAAAATCACAAAAATTGGCAAATTATCATGAATCTTTAGTGGTTTACCATTCTTTTATGAGATTAACTAATTGGATAATAATAATTTATATAGAAAACTCACTTACTGGACAGTAAAACAAAATTAAAATTATTTCAATATTTGTCACAGAAAAAAAGTTCTGGCCCACTATAAGAGAGTAAGAAATTGACACTATTTCAGACTTCTAAGGGGTGCCAAATAAAAGTAAAGCAACAAAAAATTAAAACGGCAACGGATTTTCATATTTGACACCTAAAAGATCATCCTCAAATTTTTTCATTACAATAAAAAATCATGCAGCGCACTTTTAAATTCATTTTTGGTGTTTTCATTTGGATTAACTCATAAATTAAGTAAGATATAAAATAAATAGTAGGTAAAGGGTGATCCCCTATAATGTCGCCCCCCTTTAACTTTTTTATTTTAGGTCTCCCAAAAAATTTAAAAGTGTGGTTATGTAGGTACTAAAAAATACTTTTTTTCTACCTATAAAGAAAATTGGAAAATTGATCAGTAGATATACAGGTAAAAACAAAAAGTTTATTTTTTTTTCAATAGATCACCCTATATATGTATTTATTTTTCGATTCCTTGTAAAATTCTAAGCATATTTCATATAACATACCATATACTTAAATTCAACCGTTTCGGAAATATTTAAATTATTTTTAAGATAATAATTTGAAATACACCGAGAGAAATAGTCTGGGTATAGTTAAAAAATGATTTGTTTTAATATATTTGGTAAAATATAATAAATAATTCTTCTATATACCAAATCAGCACTTCTTAGTAACTATATTCAGAATTACTTAAGTTTATTTTGAAAAAATGATTTGGTTCACTGTATTTGGTTATAAAAAACAAATATAGTTTAATAATAACAAACCATTTTCAAATAGAGTTTGTATGAATAAATCGAGTTGTTGCTTGCTTATAAAAAACAAATGCAGGATAAAACACGTTGATTATTCGCCGTAGATGCTTTAGTTCGGCCATTGTGTTAGTTTGTGCAAAGGGAGTGGACGCGTCCGGACGTGCTGTATAGTTTATACCTAAATTAGGTAAATATGGATACATTTTTGATTGAAAATAATTTAACAGAGTAAAGTTCCTCATTTAAAGGTAAGTTTTTACACTTTTATAAACAATTTTGTGTGAAAACGACAATTGCGTCATTTAAAACATTTACAAAAAGTATGCCTACTTTACTACGGTTTAATATTTTTATAATGGGTGTAAAATTATCGTACAAGCAATGGTTAATATGCACAAACAATAACAAAAAAACATTAATAATCTGTTGTTATTATTATTATTATTAGTTAGGTAAAAAAATTTAAAAAAATTAAAACAGTACCTAGTTTAAACATAATCGTGTAAATTAAAAAAAAACGATAAAAATACCAATTTTGCCTCTTCACGCTTAAAAAAAAACAAATGAATCAAGTGATTAAAAAAAAATAAACAATATGTTTTTATTTAATCTGCATTCACAAAATTATTTTTTTTAATATGTAATATTCGATTTGAGCAAAAGAACTACCTACTCTTTTGCTAAGAAGTTGCCTGCTCCCATAGAAAAAGGATATGCTTCTTTGAACCGGGGAAGTCCTGAACAATGGAATCGAAGCGACTACCGCGGAGCGCAGCGAACGGCGGAATAGATGGGGATTCACAATGCATCAATAATATTTTTCTAAATTTGTAAATGAAATAAAAAGGCTGCCATCACCTCCCAAAATTTAATGTGTTATGTTTTTTAAGTTTAAGAATTTTAAATTAAGATGTTTAGTTTACTTAAGTTTAAGATGTTTAGTTGTTGTTTGCAAACATGTTTTTTAAGGAAAATGTTTTTTATTTTTTATTAAAATAAAATGTATTGTTATCAATGGCCGAGTGTTATTTAATATAGAAAACCCTAATTTTTATAAAAACGCTAAATTATAAAAATACATGTTTTGTTTTAATAATACAGGGTGTTTCAGACTTGTGGTGCCAAAAGCTCGGAGGAGATTCCTCTCATCAAAATATGAAAAAAAAGTTCCTATGAACAAGTGTCCGAAAATGCTTCGTTACCGAGATACAGGGTGTTTTATTAAAAAAAAAAGTTTAAATTTGATACTTTTTTGTTACAAAAATAATCATAATAATGTATAAAAAAGTGTTTTTAAGCTATAAATAAAAAACTCAATTAAAAAAAATACAAACACCCTGTATCTCGGAAACGAATCATTTTCGGACACATGTTCATAAAAACTTTTTTTCATACTTGAGAGGAATCTCCCCTGAGCTTTTGGCACCACAAGTCTAAAATACCCTGTATATTACTTATTTTTTAAAACAAAACGATTTGTTAACAAAAAAAAGATCATTTGTTTTTTATAAATAAATATATTTTTTTTAAATAAAAATTTGATTCTTATAAATAAATAACTTATTTATTACGACTAATTGGTTTGGTTTTAATAACCAAAAACAAATTATTAAGTAAATATGACCAAATGTCTTGAAGCTAATCATTTGTTTTTAATAACGTAGCCGTTTGTAAGTCAAATACTGAATAAAGCATTTGGTTATAAAAATGCAGATTTGGTAATAAAAACCATTTTTTTCTCTCAGTGTAGCTTGTGTTTCTCTGTCTGAGTACCCCATTTTTACTTATTTAACAAGACATATTGACATAATGTGACTATAGTAATTTATTTTAAATACAAATTTTGGTATACTGAGGCTTCTTGATTTCTAATAGTTTAAAAAAACATTTAATGATAA